AGAGAGAGAGAGAGAGAGAGAGAGAGAGAGAGAGAGAGATAGAGAGAGAGAGAAGGAAGGACGACATGGTCCTTGGGGGAAAGGACAAGCCTTGCCTAAGGTTATGCTACTTCGTTCTGCTTGATTACAGAAAAAGAATTAAAAAAAAAAAAAAAAAAATGGAAGAAGAAATAGAAAAAAAAAAATAAAAAAATTTAATTCGTAACGGGGGGTTGGTGGTATTTTTCTTCTTATTATAATTAATATTATATTTTGTTTTGTTATTTCAATCTTTTTATGTTTGTTTGTTTTTTTTTTGGTTTTCTTTTTATTCATCACCTTTTTGGAAAAATATCACAACAGGTAGATAAGATTTATTTTCATTCTATTAAAATATCAGATCAAAATGATTTTTGATATTTGTTGTTGTTGTTGTTGTTATTTTCCTTGATTTAATTTTATTTTGCTTTTAATTTTACTTGTATTTTTTTTTATTTTTTTTTTTTTATTTTAACTTATTTTGTTGTTTATCGTCAAAGATAATATTTGTTCGCAATGAAAGAGATTCATTTAATTGCTGTTTATGCATATTCTCGAATGAAATAACTTTATACATGTTTCTCAACACGAAATTTGTTTTTCTGTCAAGTAAATATACGTCTTAATGTTATAAAAATAATAATAATAATGATAAATGAATTCTTAGAAAATATCAAGAAAGAGAGAACTACAAAAAAAAAGAAAAAACATTGTTGATCTGTAGTCGGTCATTTTATTAAAAAAAAAAAAAAAAAAAAATTGTTCATCTTGTTTCTAAAGGATATCGTCCACTGTATAATTAAATGTAAATTTTTATTAATTATAAAAAATATTAGTCTGTTGTAATCTTGCATTTATGATCAATCAATTTGATCATCAATTTAACTATTCTGAAACTTAATGAAATACTCGCGAAGAATAATGATTGATACTTATATAACGAGTAAAAAAAAAAAAAGAAAATAGGAACATCTTAATCATATGTGTATACAATTATACATACACATATATACAATACATATACATGCTACGAGTAATACGAATTAAACATTGAATGTTTTCGTGTGAAATTGAAATATGACGTATTTAATTTGTTCTTTTTTTTTTTTAATGTCGTACACAAATAAAGTTATATATTTATTAAATATAAATTAATAATTAATATTTCATAAAAATTGTTTATTGATCAAAAGTGTTACTATGAAAACAAAAAAAAAAGAAAACAAAAAGTTATAGTTAAATCTACTAAAATATTTTTTGTTATTTTTTTTTTTTCATTGATCAAACATACGATTTGTCATGCACGTGTCAACGGATGTAAAATGTTGCGTAGATGTTGTGTTATTCATGTCCACTGTATATATATATATATATATGTATGTTCTATTGAGCATCACATTTTAAACAGATTTCTTCTTCATGGTCAACATAATCAATTAATTGCGATAACACTTTTTCTTCTATTTTTTTTTCTTTCTTTTCCTTTGATAAAGTCGATTCTGCGAAACGTTACTTATAACTTTTTTTCTTTGTTTGTAACAATTATCATTCGAGAGCAAAGTATTATCATTAATACACATTATCTTTTTGTTCTTTATATATATATATATATATATATATATATATATATATATAATTTTTTGTGTGTGTCTAAGATTAGACGAAACCAATAGCATTTTATACGACTTATTATTGTTTATCATTTTATCGTAATTAATTACTTCAATACAATTAAACAAAATGAGACGTTGATAACACGTGTTTTTGATAATCATCTTTCCGTATAGATTAACAGTGAAAAATAAGATCAAACGTGTTGAATCATCATCTTTATCGATTATAATATAAATTTAGGTTTTTTTTTTTTTTTTTATCTTATTCTTATTCTATCTCACGAAATTTTAATCGTAGCGACATATTATAAGCAAAGTAATTATTCGTTATAGTTATCGAACAACACTTGAATCCTTCATACCTGTATTATCTACCCTCATACCTATTTTCCCAACCCCTTCTCTCTCTCTCTCTCTTTACTAAATACAGAAAATACCGAAAAGCGAAAATCACTCACAGCCGCAAACACCGCGCATTATTATCGAATATGCCGTGTCACGTTTTATTAGTATTAATAATAATAATAATCATAATAATTATAATAATTATAATAATAATTATGATAATAATGAAATTCTCTGCCTATGTCTATTTATACATAAGTATTAATGTATAATACATACATACATCTATATATATATATATATATATATATATGTATATGTATATGTATCTATCATTTATGCGAACGTAGATTAAGTATGGTGTATAAACAGTATAATCTTGTATAAAATATATTCGTTTTGATACCTGACGTTACGTAGCAAACTTAATGAGGTTCAACGAAACGTATGTACCGTTAACTATTTCAGGTATATATACAGTCTGTCCCAAAAACTTATTTGTACCAAACCTGTTTGCACCTTTGTGCGTACCTTACCTTCTTCTTTAATATGGTTATTAAAGATTAGTATGTTTTTTAAATAAATATTATTAATGAACCTATTATTTGTTTATTTTCAGAAAAGTAACTTTAACTCCGGAATTAGCGTCCGGCAGATTTAAATGGCAACTCGAGCGGCGCTGATACGGCGCCCAACTGATTTGAAGTCTTTTGTTACTCTATTTGTTTATTTACGATTTGTGATAAAATATTTCTTTTAAGATATACTTAAAGATGATACTTAAAGGGTTAAAAAGGGACTGTAAGGTTTGCTCTGATCGTAATACACTTGGAGGTAGGTGGGAAGTAACATATTATTGTGATAAGTGTCCTGATAAAACACCTAGGATGCAACTTGGATGATTGTTTTACAAAATATCGTACGAAAATTAATTATAAAGTATAATATTTCTTAAATTGTATTGTTTTTGATATAAAAAATAAATAAATTGATGAAATTTTATTATTTGTTTATAAATGACTTTTAAGTACATGTAAAATGTGTCTCTCATTTGACCGAAAGTGAAAAAGAGTAAATCGAGTGCAAAGGATTCAAATATTACTTTTAAATATTTTATAAAAATAGTATAATGTTATAAAATTGAATAAAATTTTCAATAAAAATTGTTTTATCATGGGAATGACTTCTTTTGTTTTTTCTTAACAGTTAATAAAATTTGTTCATCTTTCAAATAAAGATTATTGAAACGACCGTGACACTTATCATTAGACGTGCATCGTATATATCAAACATCAATTTGATGTGAATTGAATTGTTATGTTTAAATTGAACATTTTATGTTGAATAAATTTATCAGATTTTTATTGTTTTTTGTTTTTTTTTTCCTATACGATAGATCAAAAAAAAAAAAAAAAGGAAATGAAAGGAAAGGAAAAGAAAAAGCAAAAAAAAAATAAATAAACATGAAAATGAATAAAAGATTCATTTTTTATAATTAGTTATTTATGAAAAAATTATGTATACAAACATATATGCAATGTGTGCATTTATATATATATATATATATACTTGTAAATATGTATCAGTGATTATGATAATAAACTGATTGAAAAATTTGTAAGAAGTATATTTTATTGGAATCAAATAAATGTTTACAAATTTTCAACTAATCGTTAGTCCATGTATGTGAAATTGAATGTATTATAATGTTATACGAATTTATGATAATACAATGGAACTTTTGTTATCTCATTTTTAATTTTTTAATTTTGATTACGTCTTTAAGCTTTAACAGCATGACCATTGCTAATTTCATTAGAAGATTTATTATCAACAGTATTACTACTATTTTGACAATTGTTAAGTGCTGGATGAATATTATTTCTTTCCTCCAAAGTCATCCAAAAACCATTTTCAGCGGTCATGCTTATACCCTTTTTGGATAATCTCATTGGATTCAATGTTTTCGAGCATGGTTTTAAATTACACCTTGCCAATAAATGGAAAATTAATACTTTCATTTCCATTAATGCGAATCTATTACCAATGCACATTCTAGGTCCCAATCCGAATGGCAAATAAACACCAGAGTTGATAATTTCTTTACCATTTTCCATGAATCTTTCTGGATTGAATGTGAAAGGATCTTCGAAATATTTGGGATCGTGATGAAGACCATAAACTGGGAACCAAACGTTAGTATTTTTTTTCAATGTGTAAGGTTTGCTACCAGGTAATGTTGGTGGTAGTTCGTAACTATCAATTGACATTCTATCGAGAAATACTACGATTGGATATCTCCTGAGGGATTCGTTTATAACTGCATCCAAATATTGCATGTTGTTTAAAGATTCGTAAGTTGGATTTCCATTAGTTTTTTCAATGACTTCGTCTATTTCCTTTTGCAATCTTTTTTGTATATCAGGATTGACACCAATCTCGTGACATGTGAAACACATTGCCGTTGATACACTGTCAAAACCACCAAAGAAGAAAATAAATGCTTGTGCAACAATATCCATCATTGATAATTCTTGTCCCATTTCTGCTCTCTTTTTTCTAGCTTCCATCATCAATTGTATCACGTCGGCTCTTACGATATTATTTTCTTCTCTAGTTTTGATAACGTCGCTGACAACATTTTTGAAAAAATCAGCAATTTGTTCTGGTATTAATTTGATATTGAACAAATTGGTAAATAATGGGAAACTTCTGATCAAGAAAAATTTCAACGATGCAATACCATCAAAATTGGTTGCCTTTCTACCGAGTACGTAAAAATTATTGTCACGATCTCTCATAGAATTAATGGTAATGCCAAATGCGCAGGTAGCTATTACGTCATTGGTGTATCTAGTAAATACGTCTTTCATTTCGATGGTTTTTTTATCTTCCGGCATTTTGGATAAAAATTCGGTAAAATCGGCACCGCATTCGTTCATCAATTTAAACATGCCCTTTAATTTGCTCAATGTAAAAGCAGGTGTCAACATTGTTCTAGTTTCCTTCCACCTGTTACCACGTAATGAAAATAAATTCTTTCCAAATAATGGATCCTGTACTTCGTCTACGAACGATCTATGATCCGGAAAATTGTCAAAACTTTTAACAGCAATTGTTTTTATTAATTCCGGATCACGTATTATAATAACTGGATTACCCAAATCGAAAAAACCGACATATTTGGCATTGGGCTGGTGATTATAAACATCCAATACTATATCAGCCATTGTTTTCTTACGTATAAATGCTGATCCCATGTTTCCCAATAATGGCCATGGTTCCAAATATGGTAAACCAATTTTCTTGAAATAACTTAAATCCTTGAATACGTAATAATAAATGCTTAATAACACTGCCACGAAGGCCAAGATCATGGCCCAGGCCTCCATTTTGTTCAAGTATGAACAATGTAGGGTTGATACAAGGATAAACTATGACTCAGATATGTTTCACTGGCAAGAGTTGCCTGACGACTGACGTTAACTCAAACGAGTATACGAGTTTATATACCATTTAATACAAATTGTCTGTTTCTTACGTAATACAGAGTTTTACTTTTTTTTTTTTTTTACGTTCAATAACGTTTAACGTTAACGCTTGATGCTAAAGTATCTAAACTCCTCAATAAGGATTGCGAATAAATTTTTTTTTTTTTTTTTTTTTTTTTATTCATCTTGTTCGAAGTTAGATAAATTATACATTCAAGTATTTCAATTTACTATGATATTTATTTCACCAAATTTCTATCTTTTTTTTTTTTTTATTATTTTAGAAGAGATTTTGCATTGATTGCGTAACAAGTGCCTATATCACTGTAATGAAATCAACCTTGAACCTTTCATAAGATAACGAAACGTTTTTATTTTTCTAAATTTATACGGTTTCTCTAGAAACTTTTTAAATGATATTAAAATTTCTTTTTTTTTTTATAGATATTATAGTTAATTATTATTATAATATGTATTTAAAATTATATATTTATTATTATAAATATTTATATATCTATTTTATATTATTATATTGATAATATTATATATATATATATATATATATATATATATATATATATAATTTTTTATATTACATATAATGTATATTTTATTTATTATATTTATTTATTATTATATTTATTTATATATTATATATAATATATAAAATTTGTGTAAATACGTAGGATGCAAATAATTTCATTTGAAAATGATTAATTATACGAGAAAGGAGTTTCATTAAAAACAAATGAAATATGTTTTTGTTAAACAACATACATAAGGAAAAACAAATTGTTTTTTCATTGGCACGGATAGTAAAAGGTGTGGCTTGAATTTCTGAATGATGTCGTTGTTTGTAAGAAATCATTTGATTATTAATATATTCTAATTTATACATCTATTTTTGTAATTCGTTCTATTCGTTTGTTTTATTCCACATGCAAATAAACTTTGCTTTTTTTTTTCTTCTTCTTCTTCTTCTTCTTCTTCTTCTTTATCTTCATTTATCCTTTTTAACAATGTTCTACCGATTACTAACACGTAATTAATTATCATTTCTGTTATGCAATGAGAACAAATTAAAATGAATTTACGTTAGATTTATTAGTTCAACGAAATTACGTTAATAAATTGCGTTTTCGTTATTCGTTTCGAAGATAAGAAATCTATGAAGATCGATTTTTACTTATAAGGCATATGTTTGATAAATTTCTATCTTTAATCAATGTTATCTAGTATCGATTATAACTTATTATTACACGAGGATTAGATTTACTTTACTCTCATATTTTATCATTGGAACACGTAACTAAAAAAAAAGAAATATATATTTTTAAATATAACAAACATTTTTTTTCTTATTAATGGGTATAATAATAATAGAGCGTATGTTATTTATCTATCGATTAAAAGATATTTATGCGTAATTATGAAAATAAAACACATAATGATTTCGATATGATTATTAGCAAAAAAAAAAAAAAATAAAAGAGAGAGAAAGAGAGAGAGAGATGTTTTTGTGAATAATGATAGTTCATTTATTTAAAAAATGCATTTTTTTCTTGTAATAAAAATAATACTTATACATATGATTTAAATCTGTTATATTAAATAACAAGTATTATTATTAATTTCATTCAAATATAATCTAATAATTCAATATTTTATAATAGTTAATATAAAACAAAGTATATATGTGAAAAAAATAATATAATAGTTGAGTGATACAATATTATTCCTGATTATATTTTACATTTTTGCATTATGATTATTACTAACATTATTAGATGATACATTATTTGTATTATTATGCTTAACATCAGTAGAAGTATCATTATCAAATACATAATTTTGTAACGATGGATGTACATTATTCCTTTCTTCCAAAGTCATCCAAAAACCATTTTCAGATGCCATACTGAATAATCCTTTTTTTGACAATTTCATTGGAATTTGTGTCTTGGTGCATGGTTTTAAATTACAACGTGCCAATAAATGATAAATTAATACTTTCAATTCCAATAATGCGAATCTATTAGCAATGCACATTCTAGGTCCCATTCCAAAAGGCAAATAATAACCAGAATTGATTATCTCTTTTCCTTTTATCAAAAATCTTTCTGGATCGAATTTATATGGGTTCTCGAAATAATTCGGATCGTGATGTAATCCGTAATTTGTTAGCCAAATATATTTATCTTTTTTCAATAAGTATGGTTTGCCATCTGGTAATGCAGGTGGTAATTCAAAATCATCTGCTACCATTCTGTCGAGAAAAACTCCAATTGGATATCTTCTTAATGATTCATTGATCACTGCATCCAAGTATTGCATGTTATTAATAGAATCATATGTTGGATTTCCATTAGTTTTTTCAATAACATCGTCTATTTCATCTTGTAATCTTTTTTGTATATC